TAAATTCCCCAGTCACATGTACAAAGGTAACACATGAACCAGGAAGTCTATGGTAATCTGAACATGGGGTGTCCCCAAGCCCTAAATATTTAAATTGCTGTTGGAGTTTTGAAACTGAGGGCTGGGGAGGGGGGTTCCATGTTCAAACAGCCCTGGAATGTTACAGCCTATGTGTTGCATGAGGAGTGGGGGGTGGGAGCAGGGACAAAGCAGGATGCCACTTCTGATCTCAATCGGTATAAAGATTGAGGGATGAAGGACAAAATTTAGATTGTAGCAGTCAGTCATAGAATGAAGCACTTCTTCCTTCTGACCTGGTGGCCCAATTCCTTCATCCACGGGACGTCTAAACGGCTGCCACCGTTATGACCCCAAAAGCAGCAAAACCATGCTATCCATAGAAAAAGATAGCCGGTTATATACTTGGAGGGGGGAGTCCTCAAGTATGCAGAAAAAGATGCCTCTGTAAAGTACCTGAAAGGAGAAAACTCTCCAAACATGGCTTGTTGAGAACTGAGCATGCCGCGGGAGGTATAGAATGCTGAGAGCAGGTGAGAGTTTGTCCTGGTCTAAATGATACAACTTACCATGTTCCTGGTTGGTGATGCAGTTGCAGCATCTGTCCTAAGTTCTGTCGCAGGTGTTGATCATTGCAAACAGCAAGAGCATTGCATGGTATAAATGTGTAATATGACTTGAGTCCCAGTGAGAAAGGCAGGCTATAAATAACATAAATAAATACTTTTTAAAAAATGTATTACCTCCTTCCCCTCTCTGAGCTCCAGAGGCTTCTTATCCCTTGAGTTATTTTAACTTATGAAAAGAAGTTACGGAAATTACATCTAATTACATCTACTTAGAAGGGGAAGTCATCCCATTGTTTTGTTGCAAAGGAACTTCAGGAACAGACTAGAAAGAGAACTTGCTGAGCTGCAAGATTACTACACTCAGAACAATGGAATCCCCAGAACTTAACAGGGCTATTAGTTTCTTATCTCACTACTTATGCTAACCTCATTCAGTCCTTACTCTCACCAATCCCCCCCATCGTCTTTATTTTATTGTACTTCTTATTTGGAATAATAGATTAGAATAGATCGCAATGTAACGTAATGAATAGCAGAATGTAATGTAATTTGGAATGGTAGATTGGAATGTATTTCTTTAGTCTGGGAACAGGGGAGATAACTACACAGCCAATTGCCCTACTTCAAAGAAGAAGATGCTGTAAGGTCGCCTCCATGCTTGAGAGGAGATGGATAGAGCGTAATGGCAGGGTCTCAGTTAATTACTCTCAGCATTCCACAATTAAGGGTACATATGCCCATCAATCTCCAATTTATCTCCAATTTTGACATATTTATTTCCTTCCCTATGTGCCCCCCCCCCCCCGGAATTAAACCCAAACAAATGGTAACCACATAAATGAAGGTTGTTATTCTTGTTTGGTCCTTGAGTGTGTTAAACATCTTCAAGCTTATACCTTTAATAAAACTTTGTTGGTCTTAAAGGTGCCACTGAACTGCCATTCATTCCTTTGGAAAAAAAGTAAAGCTCTGTGCTAGAGAGAAGATGTTAAAAGAGGGGGGGGGAAAGTCATGGAGAACAGAATGAACCAGGGAGTATGATGGTGGTAGGGAGAGCATGCCAAGACTAGTAAAGGTAAAGGTTCCCTTGCTCGAAAGCCAGTCGAATCCGACTTTAGGGTTGCGGTGCTCATCTCTGTTTCAAAGCCGAAGAGCCAGCGCTGTCCGAAGACGATTCCGTGGTCATGTGGCCAGCATGACTAAACACCAAGGTGCACGGAACGCTGTTACCTTCCCACCGAAGTGGTACCTATTTATCTACTTGCAATTTCTTGCTTTCGAACTGCTAGGTTGGCAGGAGCTGGAACTAGAGACGGGAGCTCACTCCATCATGTGGCAACTCGGGTCTCGAACTGCTGAACTACCAACCTTCCACAGCCTGCAGTTCAGCGTCTTAACCACTTGAGCCACCGCAGCTCCATGCCAAGACTAGGGAGGGGAAAAAAGACCAGAGGATCTTTCTAGGGAGGAAGGGGGGAATAGGAAAACTGGAGCAAAGAGGGACTGAATAAAGCGACGGAGTGGGAAAGGGATGGCAAAAGTGAGCAAGAGCTCTTCCTCCCACTGCCGTCTCCTCTCCCTCCCGTGAAATTTCAGTGGCCTTTGGGGCTTCCAATAATATAGGTAGTACATGAACCTAAGAAAAGTACAGTAACTATATTGGCTTGCTCAAAATTGTATCATGTACAAGCTGAAGTCAACCTTTCCCCAGTGTTTCACAGAGGTTCCCAGAAGGTGGCAGTCAAATCAAAAAAGTTTTATATGGAAGTTATTATCTTTTTTATTTTGGACTTGCAACTCCAAGTCATAGTATGATTTCCCTGATTGGAACAGCTGTGGTTGTAAGACATTTCTCCTTTGGCAAGAGCTTGTTTTTACAGCTGGTGATGTTACTGCAACATTTGATGTGCTTTAAGTGATGGACAAAAGTTTGAAAAGGCTCCCCCTTCTTCCACAACAGCAATGCAAATCCCTTGAAGTTAAAACTAAGTGGTGCTTATCATATTCTATTATGTTATCATGTTGTACTCATGTTTTACTTTTGAGTTTAGTGACTGTTTTGTGCAACTGTAGACAACATGACACGTTTTGCTAATTCTAACAAACCATCCAGAATATAAATTATAATACTCCCGTTTTGTTTTTATTATTCCAAACTACACATTGGTGGCTTGCAAAGATTTGCCAAGGGAGAAGGTTAAACAGTTGGGAAATTTGCCCCTGATCCATATTTCCCCTCTAAGTTACTTCAGACTCTCAGAAATGTGAGCAGGCCAGTTCCCCCATTTCCCTCTCTTCTCTCTCTCTTTCACTGGTGCACAACTTTTGTGTACATACGTAGAATAATGTGCATGCTCCGTGTTCATCAGGCCATGGAAGGAGGGAGGGGTTTTTTTGGTGGGGGGGTTGTTTTTTAATTTACAGATTCCGTAGATTTTTGCACACTTGGAATCAACTTAGTATACAGAATTCCCAGAAAGGAATCCCAGACATGTTTTTCACATCTGTAGCTGTAGCACATTATCCTCCAGAACAGCTATTTTTGTCATTAACCTTATTGAGCACTTGCAGCACCCCCAGAGGCCAAACTACCTGATCACTGATACTGAGGGTGTGATGAATTGGGGGGGGGGGGGACTGAGGCAACACCTTGTAGTCATAGTGGCCTCCAGAAATAAGAAAACTACCACATAGATCGTGGGTGTTTCCACATGGAATATATGAGTTGGATACTGTTGGGAAGTGGGTTTTCCTGCTTCTCCACAACAAGAGGGGACTCATGTACCTTCTGGGGTTTCTGTGGCTTTTCTCCAAGCTCTCCCAAACCTGCTTTGTAGGGGAAGATCACAGCAAAGCCTGAGTGGCTACCATGTGATGGAAAAGTTCAGATTTTCCGGGTCCC